AGTTGAGAGACAGGGCAATGAAAGAAACAGTCATTTTCTCTTTCATTCTCTTTTACTTTGATGGTTTAATCATATTATGTTTTTTTCTTCCTCTAGTTCCCTTAGAATTTGCTATATACCTTTACAACTAATCCAAGTTCTCTTTTAGCTAGCATCACACTGCTTTATAATTGATGTATCATATAAAAGCTATCCCTTCCATCCTTCTTATTAACTTCATTTACCCATATATTATTCTCAACATTTTAAACAAGCTAAGGGAGATATATAATTCTTTTCAAATAAACATAAAAGTATCCGTTTAAAAAGTTAGTGTGTCCTAGAAAATCTTTAAAGAATACTAAAAAAAAATCATTTTATGATTTTATATCTATATGATCTAAATATATTTTTATTAATTTATTCATTTTACGTACCAATCATATCCACATCCCTCATTTCCTCATGGTTCCACCCTATCCCATCCCCTAGTCCTCAGAAAGGGAGAGACCTTCTCCCTTACCAACTGACCCAAGATTATCAAGTGTCTTCGGGACAGCCTATATCCTCTTCCTCTGTGGTTTGGCAAAGCCACCTTGCCTGGAGGAAGTGACCAAAGAACAGGCAATGGAGTTCATGTCAGAAACTGTCCCTGGTCCCCTTACTAGGTAGCCCACATGGAGACTAAGCTGCCTATCATCTATATCTGAACAGGGGGCCTGGGTCCTCTTTATGCATGGTCCTTGGTTGGTGCATCAGTCTTCTCAGGCCCCCTTGAGCCCAGATTTGTTGGTTTTGTTGGTCTTCTTGTGGAGCTCCTGTTCTCTCTAGGTCTTCTATACCTCCAACTCTTCCATAAGACACCCTGCACACTGCCCAAAGTGTGGCCGTGAGTCTTAGCATCTGCTTCAATCATCTGCTGGGTGGAGTTTTTTGGAGAACATCTATGGAAGACTCCTGTCCTGTTCCCTCTCTTCAACCATGCCTGTGTCTATTCTTTTTACCCTTCTAAATAAGAATTAAGCGTCCTCCCTAGGGTGCTCCTTGTTACTTACCTTCTGTAGGACTGTGGATTGTAGTATGGTTATCCTGTACTATATGGCTAATACCTGCTTCTAAGTGAGTGTATACCATGTGTGTCTTTCTGGGTCTGGATTACCTCACTCAAAATGATCTTTCCCAGATCCATCCATTTACCTGCAAATTTTATGATGTCCTTGTTTTTAATAGCTGAATGTATCCCATTGTGTAGATGTGCCACAGTTTCTTTATCCATTCTTCAGTTGAGGCACCTCTGGGTTGTTTCCAGTTTCTGGCTAGTATGAATAGAGCTGCTATGAACATAGCTGCATGGTGGAGCATCATTTGGGTGTATGCCCAGGAGTGATATCACTGGGTCAATCTGGTGCTTTCTCAGAAAACTGGGAACAGCTCTACCTCAAGACCCAGCTATACACTCCTGGGAATACTGAAAATTCTTTAAAGAATAACATATAATAAAGCATACAACCTACTGAAGTAGGACCTATGAAGATGAGAAAAAAATAGAAATAGAAACTGACATAGAAATTACAGATAGGCTAGAGTTAGTAAACTTCTATTCAAATATACTACAGATGTAGATAAAGGTCTCAGGATGTAAAAAAGAAACATAAATTAGAAAAATACGTAAATCAAGCTTTTGATTTAAATAAAATCATTTAAATAAAAATACTGTCTCTGAGATGAAAACTGCACTAATGGGCTCAATAAAAAGAATTGATGCTGCATAAGGCAACGAATGGTCTCAAAAACTTACTGTTTGAGATGAAACTCTGTGCTACCTAATGTATATGCTATAAGAATTCTAAAAAGAGAGAAAAGAAGGGGAGAGATGTTTGACTAAATAATGCTGAACAATTTTCTAATTCAATAACAATAAAAATATACAGTTCCAGAACACATAATTAACTCCAAGCAAGAGAAATAGAAAAAAATTGCATGAAGTGCATTGTAATTAATTTTTTTAACAACCAATTAAATGAGGCGGGAAATAACATTTTAATATGTCAAGTAGCAAAAGCAGGAATGGAGCATGTTTTCCCACAGAAATTACTTTTTCTAGTAGAAAAATTATGTTTAAACTACTGAAAGAGAAACGATCATCCTAAAATTCCGTAAGCAATAGAAATATTGTTCAAAATGAAGATTAAATTAATGCCTTCTTGGATATACAAAAGTTACAGCCATGCATGGTGGCATATATCAATAGCATTCTCAACACTTGGAAAGGGAAAGCAAAAATATCACAAGCTTGAGAGCAGCCAGAGCTATATGGCGATACCCTGTTTCAAAAAGTGTCAACACACACACAAAATACCCAAAATCCAGATGTTAGGAAAAAAGGGGGAAACCAAGAGAAATTTCAGTATACCCAAAAAATGGTAAATAGATAACTGGGAGCATTCAGACTATTCACCAAAGGATAAATAATTAAATATCCAGGCATACCCAGGCAATGGAATATTCCTTAGAACTGAATCATGATAAGAGAAAAAAGTCAAGCAAAACTAAGTATAAACTGGTTCTGGATTAGCCTGTACAGTAAATAATATGGCAGTGAGTGACTTTGTCAATAGCAAGATTTGTTTTTCTTTTGATTTAGCACTGTTTTACTATCATAAATTTCCAGATTGACCGTCTGAGCTATGACTAATTTTTTTCCTCTTGAAAAAATTCTTATCTCTCTTTAACATCTATCATGTTATCTATATACCAGATAGATAGATAGATAGATAGATAGATAGATAGATAGATAGATAGGCACCATGTCCTTAGAGAGGGCAGGTTTTTCTGACTGTTCCAAATGGGGGTGTTGTTGCAAATTCTATTCCTAAAGTAGTTGCCGTTTTCTAATTCTCACTAAGTTGTTAGTGGCGGCTGTTGCCCTAATTGTTTCTTTTTTTATGGTGGAGAAGGAGAAATAGAACTCTTGACTTCCTCTTTCCATGTCTGACTCCTCATAAATAACTTCTGTGTTGCTGTTAATTTAATGGTAAGGTCTAATAATGCTTATTTTTAGCCTCATAATTACCACGGCGGGATTATCTAGCCCACTATTATAATCAATAGAGAACACAGATGCCTGATAGATTTTATAATTACCTTATATCACCTTGGGCTCGGAAGATATTAACCCCCTATACTACCTTCCATTATCTCCCAGCCTCCAGCCTATTCCACCTGCTTTAATCATCTTTGTCCGGGCTACTTCCCATCCATATTCCCAAATACTTACTTATGTTGTTCATCTGGAACATTTCTTTCCATGCCATTCTCGAAGTCCTTTCTCCTGGCCCACGTGGTTCTTTCCATGCTAACCCATCGTGGCTTCCTCCTTCCTTCCTCCTCTTCCAGTACGAACTCTTTCCCAAGATCCTCTTGTCCCCAAAGCCCTTGAAACTTAGCCACGCCTATCCCATGTGCCTGTCCAGGTATGTCGGCTTTTTATTGGTCAAACAGGGAAAAGTTTTAGGCAAGGTTACAAATATCATTTTGGGGTATATGAGTGTCTACTCATTTGGGCCAATAATTAGCATCAGAATATATAGCACCAGACCAACCCGCCAAACTTTTGTCTTTTCAGCTGGGATTTCTGAAATTCTATTCAAAATGAAAGATGCTTGATTCCAAAATGACTAAATTTCAATGTACTTTACAAACTTCTCAAACACTACTGAATATATTTTCAAAAATATTATTCTTTCCAAAATATTTTAGCTAACTCTGTAATCTGGTGTTTAAACATATATATCAACTGAGAAAAATCAATTTAGGCTCTTGCCTGATGAGAAATTTTTTTTTCTGTTCTTTATTTCTAATGTCACAATAGTAATAAATTATCTTACAGGATTATTCAAAAATTAAATAAGATGATATATAGTTTGTCTACCATTTAAATAATAATATTAACTCTCATTTTAAAAATTAATGGGAAAATTTCATTAATGCATTGAAATGGTGAGAAATAATTCTTGGTCTTGGGTAGCTGCAAAGGAATCCAGGAAATATATAATTTTAGGCTTTGAAATTATGCAATACAAAGAGTCTATAATGGATATGTCATTTTCACATAGTCAATATGTCAGTTCTATACCCTCAAAATTTCCAGTACGAATATCCATGTACATCTGTCTCAAGAATGACCAAAGCAGACTTGTCCATAATGCATTCTTCATGGTACATTCTTTATGAGTGATATTTCAAATACAATATAGTAACTTTAAGCAAAATAAGAAAAAATGTTTTATAGATAGAACCTATGCTAAATAAGTTTCCTACCTGTAAGGTCTACTCCTACCCCCAAGTTTTTAAAGTGATACACAAACATTCACAAACATTAGATGATCATTTCACACATAAAATACTCTGAAACAAGAGTGACAATAACAAAATTGTCTGTAGTTTCTACTGTAGCCCTCTGTATAGGACATTGACACAAACTGCATGAAGTATGTAATAATATTCTAGATTTACAGAAGAAGCTGATGTGTGAAGACTTCATTAGTGTCAGAATTGGAATTACTCCTAGGGAGCTTGACTCGAAACTTATATTCTTAAGTACCAGCTTCAGGTATACACTATATGATGCTGTCGTTCTACATCTTAAACTCCAAGTAAAGAAATTTCTTCCAAAACTGACGTAAACTATATCTATTCAAATAATGCAACAAAAAGTAAAATATTAAAACTTATTGCATATTGCCATTCAATGACATGTTAAATATATAGTGAGGATATATAGCACAGTTCAAAAATGTTAATTAGACAAATTATGAAAGTGTGTCCTATACATAATAAGTATCTTGATTTCTTTATAATCTGAAATTATAACTAGATATTAAAATAACAAAGAATTAGCCATATCCAAATGGATTGGAAGAAGAGGAATTCCTGTTCCTCCACTTTTTAACCTGCCTTTGGATTTCCTCATCTGAAGACTTAACTATGATATTTATTCTGCCTTCTTCCTCTTGGTACAGACCATGTAAATGGACACTGCACAAGTCCAACTTCTCAGAGTTGCAGTTCTGGAAAACGTCTTTCCAGTGCTGATGTTTCAAAAGTAAATCGCTGGGGTCCTGGACGACCACCATTTAGAAAGGCACAGTCAGCTGCTTGCATGGAGATTTCTTTACCAGTTACAACTGAAGGTAGGATAAACATATCAATTTCTGTGAGTAAAGTTTAAAATTTGGTTTATCATGGTAACAGATGCTTTGAAGACAAAGAAATGGAAGTTACATTTAAAAGATTATAAAAGAAAAACTACATGACTATGAAAAACTGAGATCCTTTTCAGCTGTAACCATAACTCCAATTTTATTCCTTACTCCAACTTCTTCCTTATCTCTAAAAATAAAATTATTCCACTGTAGGCAGGCTATTCAAACGGAGATAATCTGTAATTATCTTAATTACAACCTTAATTTCCTCTAGTGTCAAAGGACTATAACCAAGTTTTTAAAACCCACGTTATTAAATTCTAAAATTTAGACTCAAAGCCGGGTCTGGTGGCATAGTTCTGTAAACCCAGCTGCTGGGGAGGCTGAGGCAGGAGGATTGCAACTTCAAGACCTGCCTGAGTTACAGAGGGAGCTCAAGGGCAGTCTGGACCATTTACCAAGACCCTGTCTCAAGGCATAAAGTACAAGGGGTCTGAAATATGATTCAGTGGCTGAGTACTTACCCAGTCTTCATGAGGTCCAGGATGTGTTCCCAGTACTACACAAATAAACAAATAATAAACAAAAAATAAATAAAGTTTATAATGCTTGTAAATTTTTAAGGAAGAATTGTTTTCTTATTTATTGAACAGGAATAAGAATGGGGAGTCAAATACAAGAGTAAAAAAAATTAATTTTTAGAGAAGAAAATAAAATCTTGGACTTTTGCTTTTACATTTTGGTAATAAAGGAGAAGAGTTCTGGGGAATATTAGAATGATTTGGCTATAGTAACTCTATACCATCCTTTAAATTTTCAAACAACAATCTGTTATTGTTCTTCAAAAATGTTTTTTAATGAATTCATTATTTGGGTTTTATTTAATATTATGACATACTAACTCTGGTCTTGTAGATGTGGACAGTAACAATATTCTCTTTCTAACAGGTATATGTTAAGATCAGTGTTGAATGATGGGAAATCCTGAGTGAATCTTTGGAGACACAGATTAGCTAGAAATGTTGCAATAGGAAAAACATGTAAGAATTAAGAAAAAGCACAATCATTGGAACGAGTGCTAAAATTTGAGTTGTAGATATTCTGCCTCTATGCTAGAAAACAGTTTAACTATAATTCTGTCTTTAAATTTGCAAAGCATATAAATGATAATCCAACTTCTGTCTCATCTCTAAAATTTTGTAAGTTATTTTTTATGAATTTGGTAAGGGATAGAAAGGGGAAATTAGGAATATTTCATTCTGTTCCTTCTAAATTTATTTTTGAAGAACTTATATTTCTTCTGGTTCTATAAAAGTTATCAATACGCACTCAGATCTATCAAGAAGAAAAGGTGAGTGAAGACAGGAGAAAGAAAAACTGAAGCCCATACTCTAGAGCAGTTAAAAAACTGTGTAACTGTATATTAGCTAGCAGATGGGTGGTTTTGTGCTTGTTGGGGGTATGCATGTGCAGGTGTAGACACAGCAAGAGCACCCCAAACTATACTGCTTGTGTTTCTGTTCTGAGTGAGCTGAAGCCTTCTCAGAGAAGCACAGTCTTTACTTGATCCTTGGCAAAGTTAGAACTGGATTTGGATTGTAGGTAGACAGCCCGGAACAAAGTTCACATAAATCACATTTGCATTTTGGACTTGAAAGTTTCATTTTTATAATTGCTTAGGATATACAGTATGTTCATGATCCATGTTGGTCCTTTCATGTTGGTAACCATGATACTGTTGGTATGTGTGAACTGCCAAGGAATCATTAATATGGTTTCTATAATCAAAAGATATGAAGGAAAAGCAATTAAGTGATATCAGAAAATTTTGTATTTTGACTATTTAGAGTTAGAGGTGTTTTTTTGTTTTGTTTTGCTTTTTTACTGATTGAAGAATTATAACTGATCTTTCAGGGAATGTACAAAAGAAAAATGGTAGGCTAGAACTCAGGAAACTGGACGTTTGGTTTTAACTCTGCCTGAGTTTATGATAACACATACAGACTTCAGATTTCCCACCTTCAACATGAGTCAGTAACCTGGACAAGATGGCCTCTTGTCAATAAACAAAGAATAAAATGTTTCTTTCTCTCCTAGCTATGGTTTACAGGTATAGATATGGCCTGTCTCAGGTTCACTCAGGCTTGATTTTTGCTTTTTTTAATGCTCATAGAAGCCCGAGAGAATTCCTACAGTCGCTCCAGGAGCTCCAGCCTCTCCAGCATTGACAAAGATTCTAAAGAGGCGATCACGGCTTTACACTTCATGGAATCCTTCGCGCGGAAAAACGACTCTACCGTTTCCCCGTGTCTGTTTGTTGGAACTAGTCTGGGAATGGTGTTAATCATCTCCCTAAATCTGCCACCATCAGATGAACAGAGGTTTACGGAGCCAGTGATGGTATTGCCAAGTGGTGAGAGGTTTTGTTCATCTGTTCCCTTGTTCTACTGACTTCACTTTAAATATTAAGTATTAATAGTATGCATTGCTTTCAGACAATGGTGAGGAGTAGAAGCCTCATTAATAGGAGCTACTGGTAATTTCGTAACTCAAGTATTACTGCAACACTTAACCACACTGTCATTTACCAGTCCTTTGGGGTGAGCGTGCATTGGTTTCTCTGGGGGAAACCAGAAAGGCCAGTCTAAAAACAGCCTTTGACAATAAGCTCCTTCAAAGTGCTGAGGTAAGTGTTAATGTACAAGTACAATTTATTTTTAATAAGTTGAAGCACTTTTCCAAAGTTCTGTGCCAGGCCAGAACCTATGAGTATTTTTACATCCTTCTTGAAGAAATCAGAATAAAGTAGAAGCTATCTGACCTAAAGTGGCTATCTGAAGTCTTCCTTTCCTTTTCATGGTAAAACCTCAAGAATTCACCTTAGATACATGTTCTATTCTACCTGAATCATCTTTCCTCCCAATTTGTTTAAAGTGTGATTTTTTTTAAGTGTGATATCACTTGACAGTCCTTTGAATAATTTTAACATATTATAATAACAAAGTTTACTCTCTTTCCTACATATAATAAATGTTTTAGGTATATTAAGCTAAGAAAATAATTTCATTATAGAATAAGAGATTTTATTTTTAAACAGTACATACAGCACATGAGATTAGAGAGAGTTAGGTTTTGTATGAACTTGTGTTACATACATATAAATAGATGGCAGGTAGAACAGTCAGCTTTATGAGTGTGGCAAATTTGAGGAAACCTTTGTCTCTAAACTACTAAAAACAAATACTTTATTTTAAACTGATACTACATAGTGAAAATAATTTTTACTGTATTTCTAATTTTAAGCTACAGGTGGGATACAAAGGAAATAAACTGTAATTAATGAAAATAAAATATTGTAATTTAAAAATATATATTTTAATTTTGCTTAAGTTAGGGCCAATAATTCAAAGTGAATTATTAAGTACCAATTCAAATCTATTCTTTTACTCAATGATTTTATATATATATATATAAATATAAAATCATTGCGTAAAAAAACAAATATATATATATATATATATTTGTTTTTTTACTCTCTCTCTCTCTCTCTCTCTCTCTCATATATATAGTATATACATATATATAGTATGTCTAAAATGTGCCAGGCATTCCTCACAAATTCCGAGGTTAAATAAAATTTTCCTGTCACATAAGCCTAAAGCCATAGTTGGAAAAAATTTCAGATATGAAATTAAAGCTGATATGCTTTTCTAAGTAGAAATAATTCCATGGACAACACACTGTCTCTCACTTTTATAGAGATTTCTCCCATTCTTAAGCAAACAATAAAATGATGGAAAAATAAAAATAAATATAGATATGACTTTTGTCATCTGGTTTACAAGATTTTCCCTTATGTAGTGCATATTATCCAATAGGAAAGCTGTCTTCTGTAATTTTCCAAGTTGGTATCCTACTATTATTTTAAAATATTAACAATCCATAATGTATCAACATCAGTTGATCAGTTATGTCAAATATAGATTATTAATACAAGATGGGAATAGTAGGAGAAATGGCAGAAGAATGACATGTGGGCAGGATATATGATCTTCTTGGTTTTCTGTAAACATAATACTGCTCTTTAAAATCCATTAATTAAAAAGAAGAAAGCAATGATGCCAGCTAGGTTCATGTTTGTTTTCTAATTAACCATTGAAAGGGAAAAAAAGGAATATTTAGAAGGCAAATTTATAGCAGTAAAAGGAGAAAAAGGAATAGAATCTCATATGAAAAAAACAGGTGACTAAAAAGTTCCAACTGAGAATGGGATTTCTGCTTTTCCTCTCTGTAGCTCATTGATTGACTGTGTGATTGTAGTTCTGAGCCCTGTCTCTTTGCCAAATTCATTCTCTCTTCTATACCTTCCTTTAAGGTTGAACAATATTGCATTGCATCTATATATCACACTTTTATCCATTCATCTGCTGGAAACATAGGTTGTCTCCACCCCGTCACCATTGGAAACAGTGCTGCACAGGAGTGTGTGTGTCCTCACAGCCCTAGGCTACAGCCCCAGAACTGGATTGTTTATTATATGTCAGTTCCATTTTTAATTTTGCGGAAAACCGCCACACCATTTTCCATGTCCGTTGACTATTCTAATACAGTGGGACCTGGGAGAATGAAGCCTAAAAATGAGGTGAACAAATATCTCATGCAAGAGCCAACTTTATTCATAGCATCAATTTATACCCTTAGGGTTAAGAAAGGTCACCGGAGTTCAAGCTGTATATAATCACAAGGACAAGCTACACGTGGTAAAAACGTGCTTTTCCATAGAGGCATTTAATCAAAAGCAATAGCCAATTATAATGAATAATCTGAAGTAAACTCACCAGGGAGGGGCATGAAAGCACAAACTGAGAACAATTCCATGTTTTGCTTAAACTGAGATCATGAGACTCTTGTCTTGCTTTCTTGGAGTTTTCTCACAAGCTCTCAGAATTCCCCTCACATGACTCCATCCTTGGACTGTGTTCTGACACATGTCCATGGCACTGTTTCACAGGTGCAGCTATAGAAACAATGTCTGTTTTAGTTTCTCCACACCATCCCATCACTGTTATCTTACAGTGTTTTAAAAATAGTTATCCTAACAGATATGAGGTTGTATGAGCCTGATGTTCCAACAAACCAGATAACCTAAAGGAAATGAATACAACACTAGAATTACACAGCGTAGTGGAACCCAGAGCTACTAAGGAGGTTGAATCAGTAACTAAAAAGATACCACTAAAAATAAAATCCCACTTTTCTTCTTTAAGGAGTATTTTCACATAGATTATCTTGTTTGTCCTAGCAACATATTCTTCCCAGTGATATGGAAATTTGAAGTGTGTTTAATCATTGAATGGGAGAGCTGAAAAAATACCTAGAGACTCTCTTCCACTTTTGTTTGTATCAGAATCATTTGAATATGTTGTTACAATAGGGATTGGTGGATCCCATCCCCAGACCCTCTGATTCAGGTAGAGTCTGAGGATTTGTACTTTTAGCAGGTCCCTGTGTGATGCTAATCTAACAAACAGACCATTTCCAAACTATTTTATATTGATATATTGTAATTTTCTTATTAACAAGTAATAAAATGAGCCAGAAAGGATGAACAAGACGCTCCAGGCAAGTGAGAGAGAGATTTAGACTTGAAGCTGAATTTCTTTAATCCCAACTCACTTCATTTTGCAAATTGATCACATTGTGTGTGTTATTCTAGTTCAAACGGCTTATTATGCTGAATTGCTGGATTAGATACTGCCAGCTACAACTGATACAGTGAACTAACTTGCCTAAGTCCTGTCGGAAAAGTCCACAGAGATTTAGGAATCTGCCCTAAAAAATTAATCAGAGAAGCAAAGATTAGGCAACTTACCATAAAATCATGTTAATTAGATTGCAAGGAATCAAGGACCTTAACATAGGACCAGAAACTTTGAAATTACTTTTAAAAAGGCATAGGGGAAACATTTCAAGGCTCAGGTACAGGCAGTGATTCTCCAAATAGGACCCCAAATGATCACTAATCATACGGAAAACTGACAAATTGAATTGCATCAAATTAAATGGGTTTTGCCCAGCAAGTAAAGAGTGGAAGAGAGATCGTGAAGAATGGGAGAAAGACTTTGCTAGCTGTTCAGACAACACAAATTAATACTGGGCGTGGTGGTGCACACCTGTAATCCCAGCACTCTGGGAGGCAGAGACAGGTGGATCTCTGTGAGTTCAAGGGCAGCCTGGTCTACAGAGTGAGTCCAGGACAGCCAAAGCTATGCAGAGAAACCCTGTCATGAAAAAAAAAAAACCTGTAAGTTATGCACATACTAAAACTGTGCCTTTTAAATTTTTAATAGAACTATATATGATAAAGAAAAAAAATCCATGTCTATGTTTTCAGGAATGACCACTCTACATTGAATAAGGGGGCTCATCCCTTGGAGGGATGAAGTCTCCTCATTAACTGCCTGTGGTTCTTGGTCTACTGTTGGGGACTGTGGGAGGGGCTCACTGGAGATACTGATGGCAGGAAAGGGAGGGGGAAAGTGATGTGACTCTATTTCAATTAAAAACAAATTAAGCAAAAAAAAAGATAAAAGAAAATAAAAGATCGTTTGAATTGAAACATAAGAATCTTGGAATTTGAATCAGAAAGCCTCAGTTCTAGCCAAGGCTTAATATTAACTATGATTGAGGCTCTAATCCAAGTTGTATGGCCTGTCCTTAGTGTCTTTATCCTTCTAGATCTGTTTTCTCATTAATATAATGAACAAGTTTGGCCAACTGATATTTTAGGTTCCTTTTAGACCTAAAATTTTATTTTGGTTTTGTTTTGTTTTTTTTGTTGTTGTTTTCAAACAATGTTTTTCTGTGTAGCTTTGGCTGTCCTGGACTAACTCAGGGAACAGGCTGGCCTCAAACTCACAGAGATCCACCTGCCTATGCCTTCCCTAGTGCTACAGTTACAGGCATGCACCACTGCACCTGGCCTAAAATTTTATTAATGTAAGTTTTTACAGCACATTAACTCACAAACATACTGATTTTGTGTATTGTTACAATATTACAAAATACGCATGTAGATTATCATAATGTAAAACATTGTTGCCCATCCATGAGTAATAAATTGCTCTTTAGGAAGGACTTCACACGTGAGTGATGTGAATTGTCTTTGTAGGTACATTCCTATCGTTGAAAGGAGCTGTGCTAACGTTCTCCTGCATGGACAGAACTGGCAGTTTAATGCAGCCCCCGTATGAAGTGTGGAGGGATCCAAACAACACAGATGACAGCGAAAAGACAGGGAAAAGGAAACTGGTCATGAACTACTCTTCTTCATCCCAAGAAATGGGCGACCATCAGTACACGATCATCTGCTCAGAAAAACAAGCCAAAGTCTTCTCACTGCCTTCTCAGACCTGCCTTTACGTCCACAACATCACAGAGACGTCGTTCATATTGCAAGCAGATGTGGTGGTCATGTGCAGCGGTGCCTGCTTGGCCTGCTTCTGCGCGAACGGGCATATCATGATAATGAGGTACTTGGCCTATTTATTGCTAACTGGTCATTGCAGCATCACTAGCAAGGCAGGACAGTGAAGAGCAGATTCACACTGTTAAAGAGAAGTAACCAGATACGGTGTTTCACTGCGTTTGTGAATGTTCTGTTATTCAACAACGTGAAGAGGGATTTGTTGTTTGATGTTGAGAGGGCTGATTTTGGTTTACTAAACAAAACTACTTGTCTAATACCAATATATAGTAAACAGATTATCGATATCAAAGAATTCCAGGAGAGAATTGTTCCCAGTCATTCATACATTAATTTAACAAGTGAGTATTCGAACTGTGTTATGTGCTGGATTCAGAAGCTATAACAGAAATGACATTATCTGTTGCTTTCACTATTACACAAGAACTTTACAAACAGAACATCACTTGATTCTCAGGGCTTTCCCTGGATATGGGAAAGTATTGTTTTCATCTCCCATTGTAAAATAATTTCCTGAAGACGTAGAGCATTGGGAAAGGTAAAGTCAGCCCTCAACAGTACACTAACAGCCATCAGACAATTAAATACGATATAAGCTTAGAGAGTTCATTCTATTCAGTGAGATTATATAAATCTTGTGAAACATAAAAATATTGCCTAATTAGTTTATGAATTTAGCAATGCTATTGTAATCATTTGGATGAAAGAGCTACAAGAAAATGAAATGTTTTATCTATTATAGAAGTGACTGTCATTCTTGTCAATATTTCACCTTGTTCCAAAACCATTTAAACAGTAAATTATTACAGTAGACATAAAAAGGAGATGAAAATTAGTAACATATGATAGTAAACAAATAAGTAGAAAACATAGAAAATGACAATGCTGGTAGAGGAAACATAAATTGAATTTTCTTTTGACAAACTAAGATTCTAAAGTTTAAAAGCATTGAAGCATTAAAATGTATAATAGAGAAAAGTAACTTAGACAAGTAGATTGACATAAACGGTTGAGGGCCTTGGATGATGAGCTAAATATAAAACGTATAAGAAATGTGATTTTGAAGTAGGTAGTTAGCCTTTTGTGGAATGTGCACTAGGAAATACTCAAGGAAACAGGGCTTGGGCTGGGCTCTGGAGCTGAAATGAGAGCTCTCTACAAGGCCAGGAGGGCACACGCATGGAGTAGAGGGAGATGCTGAGTGTAAAGCTGATTGGTTATTTGTTGTTGAGGTAAAGGAGGTTACTGGGTCTCAGGATTTCGGGAATGTGCATTACAGGAATAGTATTAGCAGGTAAGAAAGTAAGAGGACTTGGAAAATAATGAGAAGAAGGAGTTTGAGCAGAAATTGAAATTAAGTTTGACACCTGAGGCTCACCTAAGCCATCCAGCAGAAGTTTAACAGCAGTTTATGGTCTGGTCTCTTGGGAAAGAGTGATCTTGAGCATTCTAAGAAAACTGAAGACAGCCAACAGCAAAGGTCATCAAAAGGTCCTATAAAAAATGAAAAGTACACTGCTGAGGAGAGAAGCTTGTATTTATACATTAGAGAAAAAAAAAAAACAACAACAAAGAAAGGGGCTGTGATGTCATCAGAAAAGGAAGGGGCCGGAACAGCACAGCCTGTTGTTTTATATATGTGAGGAAAGAGATCATCGAGAGGTAGCAAATGCACCAGAAAAGTCAAAGAATTGTGGTATCAGGAACAAAACTATAGAGTGGTCATATTGGAGTATGTGTAGAACCCCAGCGGTGAAGACAGAAGGTTCCAAAGTTACTATGCAGTAATTGGAGGCCAGCCTGGACTGCAGGGAACCTTTTAAGAAAGCAAGTGTTGGGAGCATAGTGGAGGCAAACGTGACTCAGGAGGGCAAGAACAGGGGGAGTAGTGCAGATAGGAGGTTGGCCAATGATAACAAAATCATCCCTGATCTGATTTTGTACAGCCTGCAAGCCACGAAATGAAGGATTGAAAAAGTCAGAGAATATGGTTGGTGGAAATTATATGAATTCGAGTGTCTGAAAATAAAAGTGTTTGTAGCACAGTCATATCCGCCATTCATGTTTACAATGGCGGCTTTTATACTACAAAGCAGAACTGGATACTTGCAAAGGAGATGCTACAGGCCTAAGAGCCTAAAACAGTTACTGTCTGATCCCTTATCCTGCTATAGGTTATTCTTTCAGAAAATAGAAAGAAAAGTAGGAAAGTAACTCAAGAGTAAAACCAGACTTTCATGCTATTTTACTTTATGATTTCTAAATGAGAAGATGTGAACAGTTCTGTAAGTAATTAGTGAAGGAGAAACTTGAGGAAAAAGTGGGGAATACCCTAGAACTCATTGGTACAGGAGAAAACTTCCTGAACAGAACACCAACAGCAAAGGCTCTAAGAGCAACAATCAATAAATGGGACCTCATGAAATTGAAAAGCTTCTGTAAAGCAAAGGACACCGTCATCAAAACAAAGCGACTGCCTACAGATTGGGAAAGAATCATCACCAACCCTTTATCTGACAGAGGACTCATATCCAATATATATAAAGAACTAAACAAGCTGAAAAGCAATAAACCGAGTAATCCACTTAAAAAATGGGGAACAGAGCTAAACAGAGAATTCTCTGTAGAGGAATATCGAATGGCAGAGAAGCACTTAAAGAAATGCTCAACCTCATTAGCCATTAGGGAAATGCAAATCAAAACAACCCTGAGATTTCACCTTACACCCATCAGAATGGCCAAGATGAAAAACTCAAGGGACAACACATGCTGGAGAGGTTGTGGAGAAAGGGGAACCCTTCTCCACTGCTGGTGGGAATGTAAACTGGTACAACCACTCTGGAAATCAATCTGGCGCTTTCTCAGACAACTAGGAATAGCGCTTCCTCAAGATCCAGCCATACCACTCCTAGGCATATACCCAAAAGAGGCGCAAGTACACAAAAAGGACATTTGCTCAACCATGTTTGTAGCAGCTTTATTTGTAATAGCCAGAAGCTGGAAACAACCCAGATGCCCCTCAACTGAAGACTGGATGCAGAAACTGTGGTACATCTATACAATGGAGTATTACTCAGCAGTGAAAAATAAGGAAATCATGAAATTTGCAGGTAAATGGTGGGACCTGGAAAGGATCATCCTGAGTGAGTTGTCCCAGAAACAAAAAGACACGCATGGTATATACTCACTCATATAAACATACAACATAGAATAAACCCACTAAAATCTGTACATCTAAACAAACTAAGCAAAAGAGAGGACCCTAACTAAAATGTTCAATCCCCATCCTGAAAGGCAAAGAGGATGGACATCAGAAGAAAAAGAAAATAGGAAACAACCTCGGAACCTGCTACAGAGGGCCTCTGAAAGCCAGAAGAAAATAGGAAACAACCTTGGAACCTGCCACAGAGGGCCTCTGAAAGCCTCTGCAGTATAGACTGTCAAAGCAGATGCTGAGCCTGATGGCCAACTGATGGGCAGAGTGAATGGAATTTTATGTAAGAAGTGGGAAATAGTAAGAGCTGGAGGGAACGGGAACTCCACAAGCAGAGCAACAGAACAAGATAATTTGAACACAGGGAACTTCCCAGAGACTCATACTCCAACCAAGGACTATTCGTGGAGATGACCTGGAACCCCTGCACACGTGTAGCCCATGGCAGTTCAGTGTCCAAGTGGGTTACATAGTAATGGGAAGAGGGACTGCCTCTGACATAATCTGATTGGCCTGCTCGTTGATCACCTCCCCCTGAGGGGGGAGCAGCCTTACCAGGCCACAGAAGAGGACAATGCAGCCACTTTTGATGAGAACTGATAGACTAAGATCAGAAAGGAGAGGAGAACCTCCCCTATCAGTGGACTTGGGGAGTGGCATGCATGCAGAAAGGGGAGGGAGGGTGGGATCAGGAGGGGAGGAGGGAGGGGTTTATGGGGGATACAAAATGAATAAAGTGTAATTAATAAAAAAATTAAAAAAAAAGTTTTCATATACTAAAATTGGAACGATACAGAGAAGATTAGCATGGCTCCTGCTCAAGGATAACACGCAAATTTGTGAAGTGTTCCATATTTTTTAAAAAGTTTTTTATTAAAGGACACGTTTATATCAATGTAAATATGAAATTCGTATTTGCTATTTTTTCTATTCAGCTTGCCCAGTCTTCGCCCAATGTTGGATGTTAATTATTTGCCACTGACAGACATGAGAATAGCACGGACATTTTGTTTTACTAATGAAGGACAGGCATTATACCTTGTCTCTCCTACTGAAATTCAACGGTTAACATATAGCCAAGAAATGTGTGATAATATTCAGGTAGGTAAAGTTCCTTTATAGAAATAAATAGATGTGATTGTTAAAAAAGGAAAAGAATAGAGACATCTATAAGTTAGAAAATCGTTTGGATGATTTTAGACATGAAATGTACCCTTCCTATATGTTTTGAATATATATTCTTCAGTGTAATCATAACGAACTTCTAGTATGGTTCTAGATATACTTGGAAGTAATAAGAGGAACTAATTATAATAATCATTTATAGTATTAGGTGAATTGAAAAGTATTTATTTTATCCTAAGGAGTTTTGTTTTAATCACATTGGCTTAAGTTTCTTATACATAGAGATGAGTTTCATAATGACATTTTTATGCAAATACATTATTACTTTGATCGTATTCACTCTTGGATACATTTTCCTTTCTCCTCTCTTACCCTTCTATCATTCTGTTTCTCCAGAAAATCTAGGTTTTACTTTCATGTTTTGCATACATAGTATATGTGTGTGTGTGTGTGTATGTATCTCTGTGTGTAATTTTATGTGTTTACATATAATCTAGAACACACAAATGAAAGACAACATGTAATATTTGTTGTTCTGAATCTGATTTATTTTGCCTAACATGACACTCTCCAGTTGCATCTATTTTCCTGAAAATAACAGAATTTCATTCTTTTATAATTTTTAAGCTTTACTTATAGTTATTTTATGTGTATGGCTATTTTGCCTACATGTATATATGTGTGTATTCCTGTTGCCCACAGAGGTCAAAAGACAGTATCAGACCATCTGGATCCCAGATCCTCTGAAAGAGCAGCCAGTGTTCTTAACTATTGATCCACATTTTCTTTATCCATTGTTCTGCTAATGGACACCTGCACTTACTCTGTAACTTGCCTTTTGTAAACAGTGCTAAAAAAAAAAAAAAAATAGGTCCTAGCATCACTGTGGTATGTTAACTAAAGGTTCTTTGGGTGTACATTCAGGTAGTATGGTCATGTCTTCTGTTGTTTGTTTTGGGGAGAATCTCCTTGAACTTACTGAATTCCATAGGAGACAAACTAATGTATATCCAGTTAGCAGTATACACATTTCCTTTTTACCTCATCAAGGCCAGAATTGGTTATTTGTTTTCCTGATGGTTGCCGTTCTGACTAGGGTGACATGGGTTCTTGATATAGTTTTAATTTGCATTTCCTAATGGTTAAACATGTTGAATATTTTTCCATATGCTTATTGGGCTTTGTCTTTATCATTTGATTACTGAGTTTATTTCATTAGCCCATTTGTCAACAGAGTAGTTTGCTTTTCTGTTATTTGGTTGTTTGGATATAGATCTATATAAAGATATAAAATATGTTTATATTGTACATGTTAACCATTTGTCTACTATAAGTTAGCAAAGATTTCTCCCTTCCTGCAGTCCACCTGCTCATTTGTTTTCTTTGTTGTGAGGCATCCTAATTTAATCAATCTCATTTTCAGATTCTTGACTCTACTTCATTATTTGAGTTCTTTTCAGAAAGTCCTCACATATTACCTATAATGTGAAATGTTTTCTCATAATGAGAATTTTGGGTCTTACATCAAGATTTGATAAGTTTGAATTGATTTTATGCAGAGTGAGAGAGACAGATCTAGTTCCATCCTTGTAGAAGCTCCCAGTGTTCCCAGCACCATTTGTTGAAGAGACTGAAAAGTCTTATCACTGTAGCTGAGCAGGTATATTTCTGGGTTCTCTGTTCTGTTCTGTTGATCTGCATATTTGTTCTTATGCTAGTAGCATTCTGATTGTATTCCTATGGCTTTATATTATAACTAAATTCAAGGACAGTAATACCTCCAGAATTGCTTTGTATTTTTTGTCTTTTGTGCTTTCTATGGGTTTTACAATTTTCTTCTTGTACTATGTCATTGATGAAGGATGCATTGACTCTGTAGGTTGCTTCTGTTTATATAATTATTTTCACAATATTCTGATGATCCATGAACATGGCAGTCTGTCATTTAGTGTCTTCTTCATTTTCTCTCTTCAGTGATTTAAAATTTTCATTATTGATCTCTTTCACATCCTTAGTTAGATTTATTCAAGGTATTTTTTAACTTATTATGAGAGTGTTCTTTTTTCTCATATTTTCTCAGCATTTTTATTACTGGCATTTCAGAAAGCTATTTTTGCTTTTATTTTGTATCTTGCTACTTTGGTGTAAAGGTTTACTATTTTTAAGAGTTTTCTAGTAAAGCATTTAGATTTAGGTCTCCACAGTATTGAAAATGAGAATTATTTGAATACTTCTTTTCCTAGTTCATCCCACTTTTTTCCTAGTCTCTTGTTGTTTCTGCTAATACTTCAAGCAATATATTGATTAGAGTAAAGAATTCAGAATCCCTTTCCTGATTTCAGTGAAAATGCTTTTAGTTTCCTCCTATTAAGCATTATATCTATAGGTTATTAGAGTAAATGAAATTTAAAGATTTTTAAATCTATAGAAAGTTATAATTAATAAGTCAAGAGGAAGAATGAAGAAAGAAAATGATATAGGGTTGAAAGTATGTAAGTTTTTATTTATTGTTTATATTTTTATTTTTTTATATTAATTAAGTTTATTTACTTTATATCCCAGCTGTAGCCCTCTCCCTCATTCCCTCCCAATCTCACTCTCCCTCCCTCATCTCCACTGATAGGTGAGGTCCTCCTTCCATTCCATCTGACCCTAGCTTATCAGGCTTCACCAGCACTGGCTGCAAGGTCCTCCTCTAAGTTTTAAATAAGAAAAATAATACAGAGAACTAAATGGAATAGGTGATAAAATAGAATAATTATAAAGCATAAGGAATAGACAAATTAAACAAAACCATTAAAAGATATGAAAGATGAAAAATTTTAAGCAGATGCTGAGACTCATAGCCAAACTATGGGCAGGGTTCAGGGAATCTTATAAAAGAAGGGGGAGATGAAAGACCTGGAGGGGACAGGAGCTTCACAAAGACAGCAACAGAACCAAAAAATCTGGGTACAGGGGTCTTTTCTGAGACTGATATTCCAACCAAAGACCATGCATGGAAATAACCTAGAACCCCTGCACAGATGTAGCCCATGGCAGCCCAGTGTCCAAGTGGGTTCCCTAGTAATAGCAACAGGGACTGTCTCTGACATGAACTCAGTGGCAGGCTCTTTGATCACCTCCCCCTGAAGGAGAAGCAGCCTTGCCAGGCCACAAAAGAAGACAGTGCAGCCAGTCCTGATGGGCTAGGGTCAGATGGAAGGGGAGGTCCATGTGAAGCAAAGAGGGAGGGAGAGTGGGGCTGGGAAGGAATGAGGGAGGGGGCTACAGCTGGGATACAAAGTGAATAAATTGTAATAAATAAAAAAATAAAAAGAGAGACAAAGAAAGAAAAAACATTACACTATCAGCTATTCTTCTTTACTGGATGGGTGTTGTCCCCCTCCTCTGCTTGCGCTGTCTTAAGGCTCTCACTCCACTGAAGGGAGAGCAGGTGCTGTGTGTCTAGCTCAAGTCTGTTCAAGCAGCTTTGTCAATGCGCACTGCCACAACAGAGCGCAAGCAGGTTGCCTTCCAGATTGAATTTCTGCCCCGGTGTCAGCAGGCAGGGGCCATCCTCCTTTCGACGATTCCACAGTAACGTGGTCTAGTGAGGTGAATTCAGTGAAATCCCAAAGAGCTTACAAGAATGACTTTTTAAGAATTTCCAGCTAAACCAGAGGACAAAATAAGTTCCTGGATGAATTCAAACGGACTAAAACCAAATGGAACCCCTAGGCTTCAGCATGGGATATACCTCAGCATAATTTCCAGCTGACCAGCCACTGTTTGCTTGATGTGTGGTGTGCTCATATTTGTCCTGTGTGCATTTCAGTGTCAGTGGTTCTGATGTGGTCATGCCCACACTTGTATTTACAGTCACAGCAGTAAATTTTCATCTCATTAGGGAAGAGTCCCCTTTCCACAAGTTCATAGCCCCCCCCCCCCCTTACACACACACACGATGGGCTACTGCATGGTGATTCTTTTTTATTTTATTATTATTATTATTTACAATTTATCCACTTTATATCGTGGTTGTAGTCCCCTCCCTCATCTCCTCCCAGTCCCACCCTCCCTCTCCCTTCCCCCCCCCGTATGTCCCTCCCCTAGTCCACTGATAGGGGAGGACCTCTTTCCCTACTATCTGACCCTAGCCTATCAGGTCTCACCAGGACTGTCTGGATCCTATTTCTCTGTGGCCTACTAAGGCCATCCCTCCAAGAGGAGGTGATCAAAGAGCAGGCAATGGAGTTCATGTCGGAGACTGCCCCTGCTCCCCTTGTTAGGGAACCCCCATGGAGACTGAGCTGCCCATGGATTTACACAATGGAGTACTACTCAGCAATTAAAAATAAGGAAATCATGAAATTAGCAGGCAAATGATGGGAACTAGAAAAGATCATCCTAAGTGAGGTGACACAGAAGTAGAAAGACACACATGGTACATACTCACTCATAAGTGGATGTTAGCCATATAATGTAGGATAAAGATACTAAAATCCATAGTCCTAAAGAAGCTAAACAAGGAGGACCCTAGGGAAGATGCTTAATCCTCATTCAGAAGGCAAACAGGATAGACATTGGAAGTGGGAAAAGACAGGGAACAGTTCACTGGAGTATCTCCAAAGAATTTCAGTTCAGTGCAGATGATTGTGTGATGCCCACGTAATTCTGTGGTTCTTTGGGTCCTGTCTTAGTGGAACTGGTGTTTGGAGATATGGTTGTGTAGAATTTTCTATTCTTCTAAACAGAATGGCTGACTGCAGAATCTGCTCCCTCCTTACCCCAGAGTAATTGGTAGTGACATAGGACAGTGGTATTAGATGATTTCCCACTGTGTGTTCCGTGAAGCTTATGGCTGTGGTCTCTAAAGTGTTATGTTTTTCTTTCGTTGGTTTTTTGTTTTGTTTTCTTTTATTTGATTTTCCTTCATTAAGAACTCTGAGGAGCTAAGGGCAAAACTGTGAACCAAGCAAAAATCACATGGAAAAGATACGGAAATGCTGTTTTCATGATGTATTGTAACATACCACAACGTTGCCTTTTCATCAATTATTTTAACCTTAGTTGCTCTAATACTCTTTTCTCAATTGGTGCAGGACATGGTAGGCGATTTGTTTACTCCCATAGAGACACCAGAAGCTCAAAACAGAGGTTTTCTCAAGGGACTATTTGGTGGAAGTGGACAGACATTTGACAGAGAAGAACTCTGTGAGTAAACTCCTTATTTTAAAAGCCCATCACAAAATCAAAGAGCTGCTTGTGTGTGTGTGTGTGGTGGGGGGTAATATACTATATCTCAAATTATAGACCAAGGTGGCATTGTTTTTGTCTTAAATTTTTAGAATTTTTAGAGAGATGAGGGAAGGGGGCTGCAGCAAGGATACAAAGTGAATAAATTGTAATAAATAAATATATTAAATTATAAAAAGAAAAAAGATACTCTAAAATCAGGAGTAGTTATAGTTACACAATTTTATGAGACACTAAAACCCAGTGACCTAATTATATGCTTTATTGTGGATTGCTTTTGTGATATGTGAATTGGACACCAATGAGGATCTTGTTTTGTTTTGTTTTGTTTGTGGGGTTTTTTTTTTTTTGCCTTTTTCTTTTTTTAAAATTTATTTATTTATTTTATTAATTACAGTTTATTCACTTTGTATCCCAGCTATAGCCCTCTCCCTCATCCCCTCCCAATCTCTCCCTCCCTCCCTCATCTCCTCCCATGCCCCTCCCCAGTCTACTGATGGGGAGGTCCTCCTCCCCTTCCATCTGACCCTGTTTTATCAGATCTCATTAGGACTGGCTGCATTGTTTTCCTCTGTGTCCTGATAAGGCTGTTCCCTCCTCAAGGGGAGGTGATCAAAGGAGGCTCTTGTTTTTTAAAAGCCTAGGTTCCTTTCCAATGTGACATCCCTGAAAATGTTCATTAAATTTCTGCCAAGAAACCTGTGTATCATAATCTGTTCTGTATTGTCTTGTGAAAGGCTCTAACTGTGTTAACTATCCTGATCTTCAACCCATGTAATCTCAATGATGGGAAAGCAGAGACAGGCAGAACACTGGAGATCACTGGCCAGCCAGCCTAGCTGACATAGGGATTGCCAGACAAGTGAGAGACACTGTCTCAAAGAACAAGTTGTGGCCAACAAGATGGCTTAGCCACTGGAGGCACTTGTACCGAACCTGATGATGTGAGTTCAAAGTTTGGGACACACATGGTAGATGGAAAGATCCAGTTTCTATAAGTTGTCCTCTGGCCTCCAGAATCACACAGTAGTGTGAACTAAGCCCATGCCTTGACATTCACACACACACACACACACACACACACACACACACCATAAGCATTCAGGAAAACTATGAAGATGGACAGCACCCGAGGTTAACGTCTGACCTCCTCTGACCTACACCACATGCAGGATCGCACACGTGCACATACCCAAACACATGAACATACTCATTCATATGCACAAAAAAGAAAAAAAGTCATATAACATGGAAGTTCAGCCTCATATCCACACTATGTACACACAGAGACAAATGGAAGCCATATCTCCCAGTTTCTCTCTTAGGCATTTTTCTTAAGCACTCATACCTTTAACATATATCCATAATTATGACAAGACCAGATACGCCACCCTTTGGATGAAATTTATGATAGTATTAGAAATTTATAAGAATATTATTTTGCCCCGGTGGCCATCTTGACTATGAATTATGGCCATGTTTTTTTCTATTTCTATGGCTTAACTTCTCAGTTGGGGAAGCTTCAGCAGGAAAAGCATCGCGCAGCCTTGCACAGCACATTCCTGGACCAGGCAGTATAGAAGGGATGAAAGGCGCTGCTGGCGGGGTGATGGGAGAGCTCACCCGAGCCCGAATTGCACTTGATGAGAGAGGACAGCGGCTGGGCGAGCTGGAAGAGAAGACTGCTGGCATGATGACCAGCGCAGAAGCGTTTTCCAAGCATGCACACGAGGTAAACTGCCCACGCGAGTACAGGCATCTCCATGGGGCAGTCATTAGGAATGTTCGGGTCCTACATAAGGAAGCCTGAGCAAGCCGGTACAGTGGTGCACACCTCCAATTCCAGCACTCAGGAGGCAGAGGCAGGCTGATCCCCATAAGTTCAAGGCCAGCTTGGTATACAAAGTGAGTCCAGGACAGGCAGGGCTACACAGAGAAACCCTGCCTTGAAAGAGAGAGAGGCCTAAGCAGACATGCAGTGTAACCTGTATCTCGTAAGTATTATGGTCTGCCTACCCAGGGAGATAAAATAATTCTATATTATGTTTATCTTGTGCATAAAGTATTCATTGATTTTGATATGATATGCCTGCATTTTGTATTACCTGCTTGAAAGCTGCATAGGGAATTTTTATGAGTCTCCCACGAAGGGTAAGGGTCAGTAGAGACCAGAACTTATGTCCTTCATTTTGCCTCAGTCATTAAACATCATTTCCTGTCAGCTAAGTCTAACAGCTTAAGTATTTGTTTTTTAAGCCTTTCTCACATGCACTTTGTTCCACAAAGAGGCTGTAAAATTTTGTTACATTTTGAGATTTAACTATACTGATTTGCTGAGTAGCATTTTTAAGGTTTTGTAGCATCTTTTTTTAAAATTTGTATTATTATTATTATTAATTACACTTTATTCATTTTTGTATCACCCCATAAGCCCCTCCCTCCTCCCCTCCCGATCCCACCCTCCCTCCCCTTTCTGCATGCATGCCACTCCCCAAGTCCACTGATAGGGGAGGTCTTCCTCTCCTTTCTGATCTTAGACTATCAGCTCTCATCAGAAGTGGCTGCATTGTCCTCTTCTGTGGCCTGGTAAGGCTGCTCCCCCCTCAGGGGGAGGTGATCAAAGAGCAGGCCAATCAGATTATGTCAGAGGCAGTCCCTCTTCCCATTACTATGTAACCCACTTGGACACTGAACTGCCATGGGCTACATCTGTGCAGGGATTCTAGGTTATCTCTATGAATAGTTCTTGGTTGGAGTATGAGTCTCTGCGAAGTTCCCTGTGTTCAAATTTTCTTGTTCTGTTGCTCTCTTTGTGAAGTTCCTGTCCTCTCCAGATCTTGCTATTTTGTAGCATCTTTTTTTTTAAATCTTTTATTTTTTTTATTAATTACACTTTATTCATTTTGTATCCCCCCATAAGTCCCTCCCTCCTCCCCTGCCGATCCCACCCTCCCTCCCCTTTCTGCATGCATGCCACTCCCCAAGTCCACTGATAGGGGAGGTCCTCCTCTCCTTCTTTCTGATCTTAGACTATCAGCTCTCATCAGAAGTGGCTGCATTGTCCTCTTCTGTGGCCTGGTAAGGCTGCTCCCCCCTCAGGGGGAGGTGATCAACGAGCAGGCCAATCAGATTATGTCAGAGGCAGTCCCTCTTCCCATTACTATGTAACCCACTTGGACACTGAACTGCCATGGGCTACACGTGTGCAGGGGTTCCAGGTCATCTCCACAAATAGTCCTTGGTTGGAGTATGAGTCTCTGGGAAGTTCCCTGTGTTCAAATTATCTTGTTCTGTTGCTCTGCTTGTGGAGTTCCCGTTCCCTCCAGCTCTTACTATTTCCCACTTCTTACATAAAATTCCATTCACTCTGCCCATCAGTTGGCCATCAGGCTCAGCATCTGCTTTGACAGTCTATACTGCAGAAGCTTTCAGAGGCCCTCTGTGGCAGGTTTCAAGGTTGTTTCCTGTTTTCTTCTGGCTTTCAGAGGCCCTCTGTAGCGGGTTC